GATCTGTACACTCGTGGGATATAAAAATAGACAACAAATTTTTGGCATCGCTATCGAGGACTATTTTTATTTAATATTGGTTTTAATTATTTCTTACTTTTGTTTGATTTTTTTTTCTTTACTTTTTTCAATTAATCTACTAGTTTTTCTACTCAATTGATAGGGAATAAAAAGAAGCAAGAGATAAAAAAAATTCACAATACTTGATCCCGACTTAAATGAAGGTGACATGTTCTTTGGAGAATTCCTTTTCAGACAAGAACTTAAAAAGTGGGGATACGATCAATTTATTGTATTTGATAATGATGACTTTCCGAAAGGACTGAATATCAAATCTATTGTTTATGAGGAGATTAGACTAGCCTTTGAATATTGTGGGGCATTGCATCTTATAAAAAAAATGCTTGTTATTGGCGACTCTAGAGGAAGTAAGGAAAGCTATATTTGATGATCCATATGAACAATAGGATGACGGTGATATAGTTACGGGAGACATCATAATGCAAAAATATAAACACTAACTTCTAGTTCATTAAAATCTAGAGCCAAATAACATGCCAATGGAGAATCTCTTCATTATTCAACCCGAGAAACCAACTAAAGAAGAAGAACATGTAGAAACGAATAAATTAATCATGAATGAGCCAAATGAATTAGTGGCATTCAAAGAAGATAGGATTAGCATGCAATTCTCCAACTTCATTGATTTTTTGATTAAAGTCGATTAGGACATTGAAGTATTCTTAATTGGATTCGAATTGGACAATTTAGGCAATCATACTGTATTCAAAATGGCAAAGTACTATTTTAGATGACGTGTGAAATATGAAACATAGTCAAATTAAGCAAGTTGAGCAGGACCTCCAAATCCATATTCAAAGTACTATGAAACACTTGTGCAAAAGTCTAGCTAAAGACTTTACATTAAGTGCTTATTGGGAGGCAACCAAATTTCTTACCCTTTTATTTATTATGCTTTCTGTATTTGCATTGCATATAGTCAATTAAGATGCATTAATTTTAGGCATGTTTGTGTTTCAATAAGAGGATCATCATATCGATATTAAGCCTATTTAAAGAAAATCATATATTTGAGTCAAAAACAGTAGGAAAGATATGTGACACATTTTTCAAAGTTCCAGAGATGTCAAAAAAAAAAAAAATTGATTATCATATACGACACACTATTGCTCTTAAAGTGTCTCTTAACTCTTATGTTTATCTTGTTTCATTTTTCATAGGTACATAGATATCAAGCAATAGGTAGTTTAGAAAAAAAAGAAATCAACTGATCCAACAAGCCACCTTAAATATCAGACAAAAAATTTGGGTAGTACTTTCTTCTTTTCTTTCCCACCTCTATATGTGTTATCCTAGACTTTAAAACATTGAGGACGATGTCTACTATAAGTTTGGGGTCGAAAAAAATATTAAGTTTTTAGTTTTATTATTCTTATGTCATTGTGTGTTTCTATTCTTTATTATATATAAAACATTTAAAAAAATTAAAATAAAAAAATGATTTTCTTGTTTATTGTGTGGGTTAGGTAGTCTTGTCAGCAAATATATTTGGTATTATGTATTAATTTATGAACTGTGGATATATTACATACTTAAATTAGTTGATTCTTATCTATGTAAAACTTGATACTATTTGCACACATGAATTATGTTTAGCATTATAAAGTAATGGGTTGATTCATATGTTTAATAGGTTGAAATAGTATAACTTAGATGATAATCTCAAATATTCCTACAATATCTATCATTCGACCAAATTTAGATTAGTTTGGGAGTGATTTTACTGTTGTATGGAGATGTGTATATGAATGGGGATTCCATGTGTGTAAACTCTTGTGTAAATTGTCTAATATCAGTATGATGAAAATTAGGTGAAAATCTTAAGTTAGTGATCGATTTTTGAGAATGAATGTTTAATGAGAGACTTTGCACTAATCATGGCATGAGAGAGAAAGAGAGAAGAGAGGAATTTTTTTTTAATCTAAATGTGAAATGTCTCTTCATAACCTTTATAACTCGAGTGATTAAGTCTGCAAGGGTATCCAAAAACCCGGTGCCCTATCTTCATCTGACTTGAAAGTCATCGACCTAAAACTCGCTACAATTGTCATTTAAAAAATTTAATGGAGAAAAATCTGCACATAAGATAAAAAAAATAATAATTATGTATTTACATAATACATGCATTGATTAAGTCTCAAACACTTATTTAGAGCTTGTTTGGGAGGGATTAAAATCAGATTAAAATTGAAAATATAGTCGTTATTGTTGACTTTTATTAAACGGGCGAGACCCAATAACGGTTATATTTTCAAATTTAATTGGATTAAAATCACTCCCAAACAATCTCTTAAGAAAGTTAGATATTTGACAAGGGATTGTTTGCCTAATTGAATCTTTGAGGTTGAAGTAATCAAAATTTGAAGAATCCTTATCCGTTGAAGTATCGACTTACAATTAGTGAGATCCATCTAGATCAAAGAGAGTGAGGAGTGGGTAAAAAGATTCAGCATTACATCACACACTCGAAAATGAGTAAAAAAGAATAAGTTTAGGTGTGTGTGAATCTTACAAGTGATGAAAGTAAAAATTGGACTATCGAAGGTCAAGAATCGAACAACTTGTGAATTTATAGTATTTTACTTAATTCTTCACACACATCAATTTTGCATTGGAAAAGTAGATAATGATTTTGGTAATGCGACCTTGAAGCTGTTTATAAATTTAATACAACGATTTCAATCTCGAGACAAAATGGCAGGTTATCTAAGCAAAACCTTTTGCATATTTGTGTGTTTGTTACGTTAGATTATGATTTTGTTTGAGGACAAACAAATGTTTAAATTTGGGGGTGTTTGATAAGTGTATTTTATACACTTATTTGGACCTAAAAATATAGATATTTAATAGTTCTTTTAAACAATTATAGTATAATTTATTGTGTATTTCGTTTATTAGGTGAAACTCGATGAAAGAAAGAAGTGAAAATTGGCGAAAAAAGTGGAAAGATCCAAAGTTTGGGGATTAAAATGTAAATACTCAAAAGTTGTACCGGAACTCACAATGAAGATTCAAGAATGTTAGGAATCAAATGAATGCAATTAGAAGTCAAAAGTGTTAAATATGACCAAAATATTTTCACAATTCAATTTTCAACAGCACAATGATGTTCCAGATTTGCAGTCGGAGATTGAGACCCATTTTTGGCCTTGTAAATGTTCAAATTGGAAAACATCTAATTTTAGTAAAGTTGTAGTCCTTTGAGTTATATTTACAACCCAATATGAATTGCTTCAATTGAATTTCGGGAGATAAAGTTATAATAAAACACTAAAAAAGTGCAGTGCAGATTTTCTCCCGAGCGACACCACGCCATCTTCACATGGCTCCGAGGTGTCGTCGATTGTATCTAGGGCACGTTTTGACTTGCTTTGAAGCCCATAAAAATCCTATATTCGATACAAATGTGCGGTTGAGTATAAATATAAGTTGTTGACACTTTTGATATAGTTCCACACAATTTGAGGAGAGAGAAAAATACATAATCATCAAAATCAAAGAGCAAAAAATAGGATTTAAAGATTTGTGGTTAAACAAGTTTCTTGGTGCAAGATCTTTGATGTAAGATCAAATTCTTTACATGATCAAGATTTCAAAATTTAATTGTGAACTCTATACTTTTTGTTTTTATTTCATTATTATGAGTACCTAAGTTCACACAATATAATCTATGTGTGACCCTTTATATTTTTTATTTAAGACTCTAGTTCTTTAAATGCATACGTATTGATTTTATTCATGAATTTAATGCTTTGAATTCTTTGGCCAATTATTCAATGATTTTGTAAATTTAATATGAATTGAGAGATGAGTGTTAGATTTAGACCATAGTAAAATTCGGTAATTTAGTATAACGCGTAGAGATACCTATACTAATTATTGCAGTCATTTGATGAATTCTTAAAACTATTTCGTTTTAACTAAGATTGATTTACATAGAGATATGAAATCGAATTAGTTAAATAAACTCGAGGAGAATTCGAGAAGGGTAAATTGAATACTTTTGAATTTGATAGAACAGTGCAGTAGTAATGAATCTTGATTAGCAAATTAAAGGGGGTCCATAAGTAAAATTGTAAACCCTCACATTCAAATTTATACTTTTAAAACTTAAATTCGATAAATTATGTACATTAGATTAATTTAGTTTAGTTAGAATAATTTAGACATCAATGACAAACTTTATTATTTGTTTTCAGTCAAATTAAAGTTAGGAATAATTTAACCATTGTTAGATAGTAATCCTTGTGGGAACGATATCTGGACTCATTGGTCAACTATATTACTTGTACGATCCGTACACTTGCGGGATATAAAAATTGACAACAATTTCCTTTCTGCAATTTGTTTAGCTTTATCACAAGTTATCGTTGATCGAGTGGCATTCGATGAGCTTCGCCGGTTGATTGTGGATATATTGATCAAGAGTGGTGCAGACAAAGGTTTGAAGATTTAGTTCATTATAAAACATGTAGAAAAGATTTGGGAAGTAGGTATAAATTGTTTAAATTATAAATAGATAGAAGTAGTGGATAAGTTGCTAGTACTTGTAAATTTATCAAATTTGTAAATAAAAAGTGACTCGAGTTTTTATAAACATAAGTCAAACAAGGCTAAAAGTAACCTCAAATGATACTTAAAGATTTTTATTTGAATAAAGAGTAGCTTGAGTTTTTATAAACAGAAGTCAAACAAGGCTAAAAGTAACCTCGAAACAATACTAAAAGATTTTTATTTCTATTATAAGCTCAAACCCAGAAATATTTGTTTATCTATATACATGAAGTGGTTCATTTCTGTACTATATTTTGTATTTTATACACAATATTTGCAAAATGCAATTAGAATCATAACTTTGGAAGGAGAAGCACTTCCATGAAACACCCCCGCAATAGCTTTTGTACATTATCATCACAGAATCAGCAAAAAATATTGGCCGATGCCTTGTAATGGAAAGCCTACACAAGATTTCAGATTTATACATCACGGCTAGAAACAGGGGAAAGAAAATTAAGTTTAACGAAAACTCATGTAACTCAGTCAAATTTCAAAGCAATCATGAGTTCTGCTGAAATCATATCACAAACGAGTAAAAGGAAAATAGTTACCTCTCTATAGATAACCAATGCCAGAAGTTTCTGATTCAATCATTGGAACAAAGAATTCCTTTACGAAATTTAAGCGGTCCAACGTACATATGAGGGACGTGCTTTATTTTCTGCCACTCTCTACCTTTCATCTTCTTGCAAAGCCGTTCAAGGTGAGGACAATCTTGGATTGATAAGTGCTGAAGTGTAGTGAGGGACTGTATCGCTTCTGGTAATGATATCAGATACTTGCAATTTGAAATTGCCAATGATCTGAGAGAAGAAAGTTCTCTAAACCATTCAGGCAAAGTTGTCAAACCAGGACAGCTATGAATTACCAGACTTTGCAGAGTTGTGGCATGTTGTAGACTCGATGGCAAATTAGACAACTCAGGGCAGGAAATGATGTTTAAACTACGAAGAGCGGAGAGATTCTTGAAACTATCTGGTAATGAAGTTAACTTTGGGCAACTCATTATAGACAGCTGCTCGAGGGCAGAGAGATGGTGGAAGCCACTTGACAGAGAAATCAGATTGCTGCAATTTTCAATGGAAAAGGTTTCAAGGGATTTCAAACCTTCAATTTCTTCTTCTGGAAGCAAGATCAGACTGTGACAGCCGTTGATCTCCAGGAGCTCAAGTCTTTTAAGCTTTTTCAATCCAGGTGGCAAATCTGATAGTTTCTCACAGCAGCTAATAATCAGGGATCTCAGAGAAATCAGATTCTCTAGCTCTGAAGTAAGCAAATGAAGATTTTGGCATGCTCGAATTTCCAAAGACTCCAGATGCTTATTATACCCAAGGAGTGAACCTGAAATATGATTCAAGTTGGGGAGCATGTCGACTACAAGACTGGAAAGTGAGGTTATATTCTCCAAGGATTCCATGATCTTTGCATTGCAATAATGCAGTTCTAAATGCTGGATAGAAGGAAAGGTGGGAGCATTAGTCAGGTTGGGACATTTGTCCAAAATTAACTTTTCCAGGCGAGGAAACGGTAATCCTCCATCAATGTTGGACCAATATTTTAGGTTTGGGAAATCCTTGATTGTCAAGAATTTAACACATGGAAATGGTTCTGGGAAGACCCCACCATAAAACCCCTCATTGATGCTTATGATACTGTCCATTCCTTGCAGAGAAATTCTTTCAAGGAATGGAAGTTGACCGAGCTTAGGCAAATATACACAATTTCTGCAGTTAATCAACTCAATAGTAACTAAATTTGGAAGATCCCAACATGGGATAACTATACCTGGATAACCTTTTATAAGGAGATTTTTCAGATTGGCATGTGGCTCAAGGCATTCAAGAATGTCTTCCACATCTTTTCTACTGTCCTCGGGTAGGGAACTTGACGAACTGTCAGAAGAAGTCACTTTAGTAGGCGACAATTCCTTACTTTTCTTGCTAATTCCCCATTGAACTCTCAATGTCTGAAGGTGTTTCTTTTCTCTCATATTTGCCTCTCTTGCTTCTTTTGCGTCTCTGATATTTTCCATGCATTTTATATGCAATTCACCTCTAAGGTTTAGAGAATGAAGTTCTGCAATGCTTTCCCATGTCCTTTTTCCCACAATATATATTGGCAAAGTTTGAAGGTGAACCAAATTTCCAATTCCAGCAGGCATTTGAGTCAACCCTTCACAACCCATTATATTCAGGTGTCTTAGGCTAGTTACATTTGCCATCCCAAAAGGCAACTCAACAAGGTAACAGCATCCTGATAGATTCATAGTCTGCAAATTACTGAGGTCACTAATGGTATTGGGGAGTGTTTGGATTGAAGTGCTTGACAAGTCCAGGAATCTTAAACATAATAAAGCACTAACTGATTCGTGCAACCTTTTAATACCAGATCCACTTAAATCCAAGACACGCAGGCATATGAATTTCATGATAAGAAAATAAGGAATGTCACCAGAGCTACCTCCGGGAAACCAAAACAGGAGAGTTCGCAGATGTTTGGCTTCAAACAAGTCTCTTGGAAAAGAAGATGGATCGAAGTTACAAACGATGGATGAGTGACGAATTCGTGCCAGGTCGCTTGGTGCTGACCCATGTCCAAATATTGCGAACTCACTCCCTCCAATAGTTCTTGCAAGATCATGTACAAGGTCGTGCATTTTGTATACTGCATGGCTGACATTTTTGCATTTCTCAATTTCTTGGAAGAAAGACAGATGCAACAAATCGTTGAAATACTCATCGCCCATGCTTTCTAGCTGTCTATTTTCCCCATTTGGTATAATCAAGCCTTCTGCCATCCATATGTAGATCATTTTTTCTTTATTGAGTTCATGATTTTTAGGGAATAATGAACAAAATGCAAAACAGCGCTTCAGATGTGGTGGCAAATAGACGTAGCTCAGCCTTAAGGCTGGTAAGATGGCACATTGGCATTCTTTGAGATTCCAGAGTTCACTATCTTGCACGGACATCCAATAATCCTCTTTCTTGAAGCGCAATAGGCTCCCTAACGTTTTTGCTGCCAAAGGGACACCTCCACACTTCTTGATGATTTCTTTGCCAATTTTCATAAGATTAGTATTTTCATCCTCTTGACCATCGCCAAAAGCTTGTTTCCTGAACAAAACCCAACAAGCATCATCAGATAATACTTTAAGGTCGCACACCGTGGTGCCCATGAAAGATGCAACTTTCATACTCCGTGTAGTGACCAGGACTCTACTTCCTTGTGCACCACTTCTCAGCAAATCGGTAAATCTTTCCCACTCTTCTTTGTCTTCATTCCATACATCATCCAAAACTAGCAAAAATCTTTTCCCACGTATCGAGTCCTGAAGTTGAGATTGAAGAAGATCCATACTACAGAGTTGACAACTTCCTTTGGTCGCAGATTCCACAATACTTATCATGAGCCTTTTCACGTCAAAACTTTCAGAAACATATATCCACATTTTCAAATCAAAATGATGATTTACAGTCTCATCATTGTAAACTAACTGAGCTAGAGTTGTTTTGCCAAGCCCTCCAATGCCAACAATTGAAATGACTGACATACACTCTACTGTTTTGCCTTTGTCGTTAGGTAACAAAACATCGAGTAGATTTTGTTTATCACCCTCCCTTTCATATATTTTAGACTCAACCACAGACGACCATGTTTCTTTACTTCGGACTAAACTCCTTGAGCGTTTTTCTACACGCAAGTTATAGGTAAAACCCTGTTTTGCAATCTCATTCAAATCTTTCAGCTTATTTTGAAGCTTGGAAGCAATATCAAAAAGATGATCAGAAGGCTTAAACGGCAGAAATAAACCACTTACAACTTTGCCTCGACTGCTTCGACGTTCACATTTAAATATTTCATCTGAAATCTCATCCAGCAAGTCCTCAGATGCATAAGCAACGTCCTCGAGCTTCAATAGCCACTGCTTAACGGCCTTTTGAGTTTCTTGCTGATTCTGTGCATCTTCAAGAATAGCCTGAACCATAGGTAGTGTTTGCTGAAGTTTTCTGATATTATCTTTAAAATTATAAAGATCACGAAACTTCTCTATGAATGAAGAAGCCAATTTTTCAATAATTACTTCTAAGAGATTGCTTAAAAATAAATTTGCCATAAGTATATTAAATCAGAAAATGTACTCTGAGTTTAAAGGGGAGGACTTGATTGAGGGTTTCAACAAATCATTGGCAAATGCTTGAAGAGCTCTATCGAATCATTGCATCAATAAGTAAGCTATAAGGGCGCGTTTGGACAAAACAGCGAGTAATATTTTAACTCTCTCTTGTTCTATTTCGATGAAATAGAGAAGTTTCTTCATTATACCAAAATCCAAATCAAATTACAACCTAGGAACCAACATAGAACCAGTAGAAATCAGGTAAAGAAATGAAGAGTCTGGAATATGCCTTCGAGATACTGCTCGAACATTAGACCTCGAATTCTCGATATCTCCAATGAATCTTCCATCCTCCATGAATATGACTGCTAGATGCCCCAACCCAACACTACTGTGCCCGGCCATAGGGATTTCTTCAGGTGAGGCCTTGTTGAAGGATCAAAGGCGTTGAAAGGAGTTTTAGGTTTCAAAAAGAATAATTCTGTGCATGGATGCCTGTGATTATCATCCGCCTAGCTAGCACTGTAGATGCAATTTGAATACATTTCAGAATATTTTCTATAACTCAAATTTCATCCACAACATGTGAATTGCCATCCACATTACTTGTCAATAAAAACTAAAAAGACTTCTTTGACAATTATTATTTGGGTAAAATCGAGTTTTAAATATTATTTTTTTGGAGAATATGTGATTAAAAAGTAAAGAAATTTTTTAGATTTACGTGTAGAGTATTTTATTATGTAAATATGTGGTTAAAACAAGTATGTTGAAACCATAATTTTGAAATAATAGTTGTCGAACATGGGCTAAATGGTTTGAGCCACACTGATAAGCTCGTCCACCCTTGAGCTTTGACTTAGCTCACCACGTGAGTCGACTAACTCGTCTTTTGGTGAAGTGAGCCCATAAAGAGCCAATGAGGTCGCATGCGAGTCGACTCACATGGACCAAAATTTGTGTTGTTTTGCTCGCCTTGGATGCAAGCCTTTTTGGGCATGAATCGGAGAGTAGATTGTCCCACTTAACATTCCTATGTGATATTGATGTCTAGTGACTAAATTCAAATTTTATTTTCAATGAATTTCGTCTATAACTCATATTTTATTTGCATTACGTGAATTGCCATCTACTTTCATTCACATGGTATAGATGTTTAATGAATAAATGGCTAAATTTATTTTTTATTTTCCATGATTCTTGTCTATAACTCGAATTTTACTTTGAATGTATATCTGCTAGGAGAAAAAATATTGAGCATGAGAAAGTTAAGCTCCTATATGGTCGCATGATTCTTAGCAATATTTGGAATGTTATATGGCACCACGAATCTCAGTTCAGCTGCAATTGTTGAATGCTTCTTTACCCAACAATTTATGGGAAATGACCACTCAAACCGTTTATTTTTTGCATTCAAAAGTCTTTGACAAGACATTTCTAGGATTTCAAATTAAAATCATTACGGTTGATTTTTGCCTCCATTTGTAGGGATGACAAAAAAAAATCCGTCAAACCCTATGTCCACGAAGTCCAGTCTTGAACATGGCTGAGATTACCCGCTTAATTGGGTATTTGGAGCAGGGGGCTTCGCCAAGGCGTGGGGTACGGGTAACAAAAACTTCGTCATGTTTAATCTTTAATTTTGTGTTTTTAAGAATTAAATACTTTTAGTGGAAATATCCACGAAATTTCATTAGTTCTAATAGAAAATGACTACTAAAATTATTTAAGGAATATGACAAATAATAAAAGTCTTAGTTTACCATATATATTTGAATAATTTAACTTTTTAAAAATAAATTAATTAATTAAAAAATAATAAACATAATATTGTCTAATTTAATGAATGTGGCAATAAAATGAATGATCAAAAATTGAATTACTAATTTTAATAATAATAAATGGGTAGTAAACGGGGCAAATGTCTAGCCCAACCTTGCTTTAAATGGGTAACGAGACGAAAAATTAATCGGGCAAGGGCTGGGGGAGGTTGCCCTAATCCCAACCAGTCTCGTTGCCATCTTTACCCGTTTGGCTCCCATTATTCTCCATTAAATTATAATTTATTTTTCTATCTCTTCTTATTAATCATATATTTTTTAATAAAATAATATTATTCGTAAAATCAAAAAAAATTTCATTCTTTTTAATCGCATTCTTCAAAAATTATTATTCATCTCGTTATAAAGTGGAATAATGAGGCCAAACATATGCTTTTTTGTGTCAACAATTGCGACTGAGCTAGGACCCAACGCACTACATAACGTTCAAATATTTTGAAAAATCCATGGATAATCGTGACCAAACAAAGGCTAACAATACTTCAATTAGAGTTTGTTTCTAGCTTAACAATACTTCAGTGATTGATTTGGAAAAGAACTGCTGAAAATTTTTTCAAGCAAACAATATTTAGTCATATTTGGCCCTCATTTTCTAAAATTTATTTTCAATTATATATTTTATGGGACTTCACAACTTTTATCAAATTTTTAAGTAAAACTGAGAAAAATTTATTTAATTCGTTTTTCAGGACTTAGACCCTGTTTGACATTCATTCTCATTCTCATTTTTTTTTTCTCTTTCTTCATTTCAACCACACATTTTCCAAATAAAATAATATTACACACAATTCTAAAACATTTCATTACTCTTCAACCATACATTCTTCCATCAATCAATATTCCATAATTCATTTTTTCCCCAAAATGGGTATCAAACACAAGCTTAGTTATCAACTTGCAAGAAAACATCACTTCTTTGCGGTATTGATGGGAAGCATAGCGCCACGAGTGTATCAATGCTTTTGAACACTTCACAAAAACTTGACTTATGGAATTGAAGTATCAATGCTTTTCAACACTTCGCAAAAACTCGACTTATTGAATTGAATTACATGTTTGGAAAGTAATTATAATTACAGTAATACTATTTGTACATTTTTTTGAATTATTATTAACTTTTATTTATTTACTTCCAGAACAAAACATGCATTAAAATTCTTCCGTTCCTATTTGTATCCACAATAATATTTCTCAATTAAAAGAAATCCTCAAATAATAATTTTTCGAAGAAAAATAACATAATACATATCTTGTTTCATGGAAGGAGAACAACCAGAGACCTGAGACCCGTATAAATTATCAACGCCCATTGGACGACCCGGTATCATGCCCGAAACAGGAACCTCAGTGATATAGATAGAAAAGAACATGGCTACAGATTCACCCCCAGCTCCCAATCCTTCTTGGTTTACTCCTAAAAGGTAACCTTTTTGTATGTGTAATCTGTATTTTTTTTATTTATTGACGAGGTGCGAAGGTGGGTTTCTTGATTGGTTCAATAAAATCTGTTGAAGGAATCAAGGAAGTTTGAGTTTTTGTTGGGTTTATAAATGATTGTTTCAGAAAAGGGAAAAAAGTCAAGTCTTTACTGTTGTCAGAAGAAATTATGTAGTTGGAAAATAAATTTGGATTTTTTGGTCACGTTATTCGTACTAACTCAATTTGAAAATCTGAAGGGAAGATAATTTAGTAGGGTTTTCGGAAAGTTGACTGTTCACGCGTTGGGTGATGAAAGCATTTTGACGATTAAGGTTTTTGATTTTGAGTGAATTGTGGTTAGGTTATGGGAGGATGCAATTATAGGGGTTGACTTCCACTTAATTTGAAAATTCAATGAAATTCAGTTCATGCATTATCAAATTAATGGTGATATGATCGAGCTCTTCAAATCTGGAACCTGTTGTATTAATTAATTACTTTTTAATAATTTTCTTAGTGGGATTCAATTTGCTTTTCTGGCAGGTTACTTATTATATTTTGTGTCATCAACTTACTAAATTATGTGGATCGTGGAGCAATAGCAAGCAATGGCGTTAATGGGAGCAGCAAGACTTGCTCAAAAGACGGTATATGTTCATCTGGTAGTGGAATTCAGTAAGTACTGTATTAACATCTGGTCACAAATTTGTAATGCTTTACTTTGTTCAACTTTTTCCTTTTTCAATCATAACACAAATCACTAACCATTTTATGACCTCTTAAGCTTCTCCGTGAAGCTGTTAATTGTGTGATCGGCTCATTTAATTGTTAATGGCAACAAAATATTGAAAGGAGAAACATGTTGGCTCTTCATGGTTTAAACCAGATGCCTATTCCCACTAGCCTATGTTTAAATTCAGTGACATGGGAGGGAAAGTGATAGTGGAAAAGGATTGTGTCCCCTTGTTTGGTAAAGAAAGGACGAAAGGAAGAGAAGGGGAAACCTTAAGTTTCATAGTTCTCTTGCAGATATATAATTGAAGGGGCAGAAGGTGGTAAAGAACTAAAAGGCCAAACTAGCCTCGTTTCCTTTCATCTGTCAAACTTCTCTTCTGCTTTACCACCCCTGTTTTTCACCCAACCAAACATATGCTTATAGCTTCAACATTTGCGAGCAAAAGTTACAACCTTCCTCCCTCTCCCGAAAGAAAAGAAAGGAAATAAACCTAAAGGAGAAAATGGGAAGAAAATAAAAGAAGAAAAGAAATAACACTTCAGAGGTGTAAGGCAATATCTATTGCTGTTCATGGTTTTCTGAATAGCATCTTGAATATGTTTCTATCACATGCTTAGGAGTGGAAGCTGTCCTTCTACTTGTTAAATCTATTGACAATCGGCTCTATGTATGTGTTCTGCAATGCAGTGCCTGAATGTGTTCTAAGCCATGCAACAGATATTATATTTGTTAATAGATATCTGCAATGCTTATGTGTTCTGCAATGCTTATGAGTGGAAGCTGTCCTTCTACTTGTTAAATCTATTGACAATCAGCTCTATGTATGTGTTCTGCAATGCAGTGCCTGAATGTGTTCTAAGCCATGCAACAGATATTATATTTGTTAATAGATATCTGCAATGCTTATGTGTTCTGCAATGCTTATGAGTGGAAGCTGTCCTTCTACTTGTTAAATCTATTGACAATCAGCTCTATGTATGTGTTCTGCAATGCAGTGCCTGAATGTGTTCTAAGCCATGCAACAGATATTATATTTGTTAATAGATATCTGCAATGCTTATGTGTTCTGCAATGCTTATGAGTGGAAGCTGTCCTTCTACTTGTTAAATCTATTGACAATCAGCTCTATGTATGTGTTCTGCAATGCAGTGCCTGAATGTGTTCTAAGCCATGCAACAGATATTATATTTGTTAATAGATATCTGCAATGCTTATGTGTTCTGCAATGCTTATGAGTGGAAGCTGTCCTTCTACTTGTTAAATCTATTGACAATCAGCTCTATGTATGTGTTCTGCAATGCAGTGCCTGAATGTGTTCTAAGCCATGCAACAGATATTATATTTGCACACATCAATTATTCTCCAAAATCCAACACATTTAGGATAACCACCTAATGAATAATTCTGCA